TCTGACTCACACCCGCAATGATCTCTGTCTCACGCTGGTTCACCATTCCTGTTCGAAATCTATGGTCTTTGGCAATCCGAGCCCGCGCCCATTCTTAATAGAGGAGACACAACTTTAGTCATATTGAATAGGGTTAAGATGGGCAAGTAACTCACCTTCGGCTGTGACAGACTCTAGCGCCTTTCTCTCCGACTCGGGGAGTTGATAACCTAGCCTTTGAAGCAATGGGCTCTTCACTGGCTTCATCTGAACCGCCGCCTCAGGTCTAGCAAAGTAGATAAGGCTAAGCCTCGGCTTGTCAGCCTGGTCGGGAGGTGGCCGCACAACTCTGTGAACCGTCGACTTGAGAAATCCTCCGCTCAAGTACTCCAATGCGTCAGCAATATTAACGATGATTGCATTTGGCTCCGATTTGACATATTTCCACTCATTGGTGGCCTGATTTAGCACTTGTAGACCCGCCACAGGTTGATGAAACAAGAACGTCAAACTATTGTAGTCGGTATGACCCTTAGCCCACAAATTGTCCACTTTCTTATCTTCCTCAGCCGTCCGAGGGTAATATTTCATATATCGGAGATATTCAAGACCCTTCTCTTCGTATCTATGATTATCCGCAAGATAATTCTCGTCTATCTCGAGTACATAGGCAAATAAACGGAGAAGAGGCAGGAGAATTTTATCATGTATGTGCTGATCGAGGTTCGTCAGAACACCAAGACATTGTTTTGCAAGCCGGTTACTTGTTTGTCTACAAAAGCACTTACCAATGAAAATTGCTTGATTTCCTCATAGTGGTCAAAAATTAGTTGCGGATGGGGTCTCTCGTCTATATTCGAGTAAGTAAATCTTCTGACAAAACAATGAAAAGTGGAAGCAAATTTTCATCGAAATCCCTGGAGGCTGCTTTAAAGCTGGAAATGGGAATCAGGGCTGACTTACGTTCGGGGGTAAATTTTGGAATATTGTACCTCTCATCATTATCTCTAGCGCCCAGGTCCCCCGTCGAGCGAGGTTTGTAGCCACGAAAGTCGCCAACCGCTGTGTTGCTGAGGTATTTCATCTTCTCCTCGAGCGGTAGTTCGAAGACGGCCTTTGCAATGGCATATTGATTATTGATCTGTTCCTGACTTAGGCCATGGCCAGTGACATAGAAGAATCCTGAAACTGGTTAGTTGTTGCTTATACACCTGAAGGGTTACTCTACCATTTTTGTTGATGAATTGCAACACCTGGTCCGCCAGGGCTTGCTTCCCGCCGAGTGTGTCTAGCAGCGAAATGTCAAGGGCTTCAAGCTCTGCCCAGTCCACTATTATGGTCAGATAATGCCGTTATCCTGAGAAACTAAAATCTAATCTTACAGTCTTCCTTGGTTTGGGGTGGCGGAACATAAGGCTGGAGTCTGGGCTCCGAGGTTGAAATAGTCATGTCTCCTTATTACTATTTGAAGGCGCTTTAACGGCTGGGCTACTGGCTTGGGGAAAGCTTGGTAGCTTCGACGTCTAAAATGCTCAAGGGTCAAGCTTTATGTCACTGGTTACTCAATCTGGTCTATCGTACATATGACTGACTTGAAGGCTTGGTGGGAGGCTACCCCGCCCTTGAGGTACGCAAAGAAATATCACATCATTCGATTTGCCGATGGTGAATCGCAAGAGAGTCGCTCTAATTTGTCGCTCGTTAACTCCACTACAGTTTTCGCCGCTAGTAAGCTTAACGCTCGCTCTCCTGGAGGTATTTGTACAGAACAATTTCTATTGGCTGGCTACGTGCTATCTAGTCTTTGAATACACAGCTATCTTTCCACACATACTTCTCCTCTAGGCACCTGTGGGTCGGATATAGCATTTTGTTCCGTATTTCCTAGGTCAAGTAGTGATGGTCCCTGGTAATTACGCCATCCTAGATTGCATAGCGTATCCACCCGAAGGATTCCTAAACATACACATAAATTGATGAGAAAATGAAATCGAATGTTGTAGTGAGATCCCTCTCTAAGTCGAGCCAGTTATAATCCAAATGGCGGATAATCTAGAAGATAAGAGCACTTCGGTGAACGCCCTTGTACACTCCGCTAAGCGCAGTGGGAATGAAGATGTCCTATCGTCGACAAAAGAGAAGCGGACAGTGCGACAGCGCCTAAAAGATATTGTCTGGGATAGCCTTGACTACTCTCCCGATGAAAGGCGGTTTATTTCCAAGATCGACTTTTTCATCCTGTAGGAAACCACCTTTTTCAAACCTGCCTACACTACATTCTGAATGCTAAACAATGTTTAGTACTTGGGCCGGCTTCTCGTACTTCTCCAAGAACTTAAACTCCAACAACCTGTGTATGTGTTAATATTAACGTCCCCGGTAGCTATGATGTAGTATTTAGGCAACAAGACTAACAAAGAGTAGCTAATGCATATGTCTCGGGAATGAAAGAGGAGCTCAACGTTGTTGGCAATCAATATCAAACGTTCATTACTATGTGGACTGTGTCAGTCATTACTCTCCTCCATCTCATGTGGGATATCACGAAACAAAATTCTAATATGCCCGAAGTGGCTATGTAATAAGCCAGCTACCCTCTCAAGCCGTTTGTACTAGAGGTACGTATTGATGGCGAAATATTCTCTGACACATATGTTAACAAGGGTCCAAGTACGTTTGTCGCTTTGGTGTCCGTCCTGGGAATTATTCTGGGTTATAGTGACCTTCGCGACTGCTGCAGTGAAAACGCCACATCATCTGTATGCTTGTCGATTTCTTGTCAGTTTCTATCCCCAAGAAGTTGACTGAGCTCAAGTGTACTTACGTCAGTCAGGTCGGCCTCGCAGAAGGGACATTCTATCCTGCTGTTCACACGGTTCTTGGTGGCTGGTATACGAAGAGAGGTACACAAAATTTGGCAAAAGTATTACGGCCTCTCTCTAATTCAAAGCATCATAGAACTAGCAAAGCGAGCATGCATATTCTTTGGCTCAGCCTTTGTCGGATCGATGTTCAGCGGCTACCTCGTGAGAACTATTTATACTCTTGATTTCTCAAATGGGTCTAATGAGTACATAGCAAGCGGCACTCTATTCAGGAATGGATGGCGTTCACGGCCTTGCGGGGTGGAGATGGCTCTTCATCTTTGATGGTGTCATCACCTTGCCGATGGCGGTCTGGGGTGCGTCTGTCAAAGAATTCAAATCAATGATTGGCCACGTCTGACATCCGTAAATTAGGCTACTACGCACTTCCAGACTTGCCTAGTAATACCCGGGTTCGATGGCTTAAGCCCCACGAAAAAGAACTAGCTCTTAGAAGGATGAAAGCAATCGGAAGAGACCTTGAAGAGCCTATTACTGTGAAAGGGACGATTAGAGTGCTCAAGAAATGGCATTTCTGGGTTTATACAGCATACTACACGTAAGTCGCTGCGTCACAGTCGAGGAACTAATTATTGAGCCTTGATCTTAGGTTTTTTATTTGCAGCGAAAACATTGGAGCGTACATGAACCTCTGGCTCAAGAGCTTGAAACGGTTTGTAGACATCTTGACCATGCACACTCGACGTTTACTAATTAGATTTGGGCATAAGTTACACCGTGCCACAAGTTAACACTTATCCCACAGTGACCAATGCCGTGACCATTCTCACTACTTTGTTATATGGCTGGACCAGTGACGCGATCCAACTCCGCAGTCCAATAGTGTATTTCTCATTGGCAGTCTGCTTCTTTGCAGCAATGAATCTCGCTATCTGGGACGGTGTACCTTTCGGCCTCAAATGGGCTTCATTCTACCTAACCGGGTAAGGGCCCACTCAATACAGGAATGTTCCTTCCAATGCTAACAAACTTGATAGATTTGCCCAAGGTTCAGGGCCCGTTTTCTTGGTGCGTCCCTGTAGCTCATTAGAAATGAACTTGATGATAGTGGTAGATCACTGACTATAACCTACTACAATTAGACAATGGTGAATGAGGCCTGCGCCGGAGACAGCCTAGAGAGAAAGATAATCTTGGGTTCCACCAATTCTGTTGCGTAAGTAATATCGATCATAAGAAAACTAGAGCTCTGTAGCCCTAATTCATTGCTATTTGATAGATACGCTTTCAACGCTTGGATTCCCTTGATAACTTACAACACAAATTACGCGCCAAGATTCTTAGTCGGCAACTCAGTCACAGTGGGACTCATTGTTTGTGCGGCCCTCACTTTGACCTTGGCCGTGCTTTTGGAGCGGCAAGACAGGTATGCCTCTTTTCCTAGTGTTTGAGCTTCTTAAGCCCTCTTTTCTAATTTGCGAGTGCTATAAGACGCGATCCCGCTTTATTAGATGCCGAATTGGGACAGGACGCACTGGTGGCCCAAGAACAGGAAGTCGCTGCAAAAAGACCTGTGTGATGGAATTTTGATGTGACTAGTAGAACAAAGGCTTGGGTGTGGATGCTGCTTCAGCAATTTGTACTTTGTGGCAAACTGTCATACGAGAAGACAGTTGATTGAGGATATATACTATCATAGCACTACGATGTTTTCGTAGTAGTATGTTGCTCTCTAGGAGTGTCCCTCGTCAGTACCGCCTTGCTGTAAGGTAAGGGTCATGACGTCATATAGAGTGAGGCAAGTTGAAAAACAGCGAAGCGGCCCATCCTCTTCGATTATCGATTAGGACTTAATTTCATCATGAGTTTGTATGGCCTATATGAAACGATAATAGCGAAGCATTCCGGAATCATACTCTTTATATGTGACCGAAAATACGAAGGCATTATGCCTTAACCAACTGTCGAGTAAAGTTGAGTCGAATGTCTGGATGAACCTAGCTTTGACGGTGAACTCTGTGTGATGGAATTGACAATTTTACTCTGGCGAAAGCCCTAATCCGGTTCCAAAAGAGCTATACAGGTAGCCAATTCCTTAAATTGCAAGGGCATTTATCTAATAGAAGACTCTACTTGACGGCACGCGTACTCGAGATATTCGATTCTTCCGTTTTACTACTTTGTTCCATCTGAAAACTAAACCTTCTCCTCTGATTTCGAGCTGTTAGTGGCATCCGGCTCATAAAACGCTACCTTCACGCCGTCACCGGGCTGAAGCACAAGGCTGTCCATGAGGGTAGGGCTGCCGTGGTCGATGGCGTCCATGTGGCTGACAACGCGCTCGAACTTCTGGAAAAGCCGTACGAGCACGTAACCCATCTCGGTCAGGGCAAACTGCTGGCCGATACAAATGCGGGGCCCGCCGTTGAAAGGGATATACTGCCACGGCTTCGGTTGCCACTGTTCCCATCGCTCCGGCGCGAACACGGCCGGGCTGGGGAGGTGCGATGGGTAAAGGTCGATCCGGCGCTGCAGTAGTAGCGTTGAGTAGGCGACCGGCGTGTCCTTGCAGACTGCTACGGGCTCGGTCCCGTCAGATCCGCCGCCGCGCGGCAACGTGGTATCACGGAGGGCTAGGCGGAGATTAAAAGGTAGAACCGGGTACATGCGTAGTGTCTCGTTAAGGATGTGTTGGAGGTACTTCATAGCCTTGAGATCGGCGGAAGACGGGTTGCGGCACGTAGCGTCGCCTTCGAGGCCGACTGACTGGGCGATTTCACCCCGCAGCCGCTGGACGCACTCCGGTCTTTTGCTCAGCTCGTATATGGCCCATGACAGAGTGCTTGCCGTGGTGTCGCGGCCCGCGATTAGCACGGCTATAAGCTGGTCACGTAGGACCTTACGGTCCCGGGTGAACTGGGCCAGGGCGTGCAGGAAAGTGTAGCGACCAGTTCCACCCTCACCCCTGTCATGGATCGTCTTCGCGAGCTCCTCCGGTGGTAGACACAATGTTCGTTCGATAAACGGGTCAAGGAACTCATCAATAACGCGAATCCCACGGTTATATGAATCCCGTGGGACGAAAGCCTTGGCGGGGCCGGCGCGATTAATCAGGCATTGTACACGTTGGACCTCTGTGACCGCTTCGGCAAAATCTTGTTGTGGGATGCTTTATTTTGTTGGTGTTAGAGATTGATCTCAACAAAGGCTTATAGACATGGGAAAGACCCATGCGACACAGCGCAAGGGGTAGAAAATGACACAACTCACATCAGAGACTGCGTGTCTTTGCCGAGGAGGAAATCAGTGGCCACGTCTAGTGTATACCGAAGAAAAAGGTCGCTCATGTCTATGACACGGCCATTGGCTGAATATTTCGAGATAGACCTCCCCTCAGCCCTTGCAGGGATCAGGACAGCGGCGGCTGAAGCGTCACCGCCAACGGACATGACAGTGAATAAGGTCTGCAGATGCGCCTCGAATATGTGTAGATCAGACACGCGATCCTTGATGAACTGCGGGCGCAGCAGCTGGCGACTCGCGTGCCACTTAGCGCCATCTGTGGCGAAGATGCTGTCGCCGAGGAAAGGCTCGAACTCCCGGTGAAAAGGTTCGCCCTTGCCGTAGTCCTGGAACTGTGAGGCCAGGATGGCCTTGATGTTTTCCGGGTCGTCGGTGAAGATGATGCGCTTGCCCATGATGCGGACCTCAACGGTGTGGTTGTGCAAGGTTGCGAACATATTCTCCCAGAGAAGGTGATTCTTATGGACCGCGGAGGCCCTAATCTTGCTGATGATTAGGTCGATGCCCCAGGGCAGCTTTCCGCGCATCTCGGGCGCCCGCAAGCCACCGGTGCGGCGTAGGCGGTACCGCTCGTTGAAGCGCTTGCTGATGGCATAGACCACATAGCAGACAAAGACAACGGAGAGAGCGGATGTCCAGGAGGCCTTAGAATAGAGTTCTTCGGCGAAACCCATGATATCGGAACGTTTAGACAGGTGGTTATATGTCTGGATTTGTATATGTATTAGATAATTAGGACAAGTATAACATGAAAGAGGAGAACGGGGGTGATCGGGCACCCTTTTGTGATCTGTAAAGAGGTGAACCAAGAGACTAACCCGCTAGGCTGAAGAGATGTTCCTCAGACGAAAGGAAGCAGAGGGCGAAGAAGGTGTGGCAGAGTGGGAGAAAAGACAGAAGGCAGAGCGGCAGGGGTAGATTTCTTTTCAAAATGATGAAAGTCGATGGCGTTCACTTTCTCGTGTTGCAATTGCAAGCAAAGGTTCGCCCTGCGGATGCGAATAGACAATAGGAGAGAGGGTTTTGTTCAGAGGTAGTGACCAAAAAGCAAAAGTCATATACATAGCTTGTAGTGTAATACGGAGCAATGATAGGATATCTCCGAGGCCCGTTGATAGACTTGCGCCGCTGCCTGGCACGATGAGCCAGACCGTTACACAGGTCGTGATGTCTAGGGTACTTAGCTTTGGTAGCCAGTGCCCGATCAGAATTAGGTCTGTTTCATGCTCCTTAATACTATATCTTGCTCCTTAGAGTAAAGGAATAATAGTTACTGTGTATGCTGTGTGAACTGTGCTGCTGCTATTCCTCAAGGAGTAGTAAGGAATGCGAGGACAGGGTCAAAACTAGATTCTATTATCATCCTTTTTGAACTTGTCAAACCTACTATAAAAATATACTTTTACATCCCTCTATCGTGGTTTTATTTTATTCTAGCTTATTAAAGAGATAGAGCTTCACTTCCTCCATTGTCAGGTAGCCTATATAGATACAACAGCACTAAGAAACTGATAAATTAGCCCGGTATAACTGACCTAAGAATATATATTCATTTCACCTTTTGGAAGTATATAGTATGAGTAGCTAGATGACACAGTATGAATAGCATTTTCGGATGTGAAGTACGCTCCGATTGGTCCTCCAAACCTCCGGATTCACGCTTGTGCTGTAGCAGTCTTGTAAGCCGATTTGGATGAGCACCTTTCGGAGAATATTTTGATCGGTTGAGCAACCTCCCGAGAACCTCCCGAAGTGCTTCGATAGCGATTTCGTGATTTGGAAGAGTGGTGGTCTGCCATACGCAAGAATCTTTGATAATATGAAATGAGCGCTTGAGAGAATCCCAGATTCCGAAATATATATAAAGTATTGACGCTTGAGGTTTGACAAGTTAGCAAGTAAAGCAATCGACATGAAGTGAGCTCCATGATATATTGGTACATTCCTGGTAACCAATCTCTGGGTTTGATTACCTAGTTCGCTTCCTTGTCAACACGAAACAGCCAACCATCATGGGCTCTTCTATCGATTCTTACGACGCCACGAACCGCCTTGCCGGTCAAGACCACGTCCTCTCATCTGACATCGCCATCATTGGTGTCTCTGGGCGCTTTCCTGGCGATGCAACTTCCCCTCGGAATCTATGGGACATGGTCATGGAGGGGAGAAATGCCCAGGAACCGATACCCAAAAGCCGCTTCAATGCGGACGGCTTCTACCATAAAGACAGTGGCCGGGCTGGAGGATTTGGCGGTACCAAGTTAGGCTACTTTGTGTCTCAAGAGGTCGACCGTTTTGACTCCAGTTTCTTCTCCATTACGCCCGAGGAAGCTAAGGCAATGGATCCGGTTCAGCGTCTACTGTTGGAGGTGGCGTACGAGGGTCTTGAAAACGGTAAGTATGCCTGTATTAAGGGTGTTGAATATGCTTGAATGCCAGACGCAATGTACATCGCACTAACTATCTCAGCTGGCCTGACAATTGACCAAGTCGCCGACCAGCCCATGGGCTGTTTTATAGGAGGCGCGCTGCATGATTACTGGGACATACAAGCCTTAGATCTGGACAGTCTCCCGAAGTATGCGGGCACAGGCACAGGAGGCTCCATCTTAGCGAATCGTATCTCGTGGTTTTTCAACCTCAAGGGTCCCAGCATAACCATCGATACGGCGTGCTCATCTTCCATGACTGCGATGCATCTCGCTTGCCAGAGCATTAGATGTGGGGAGACCGATTCGGTGCGATTCTTCTCAGCCTCTTTTAATATTCTTCCTTGCAGACGTTTGCAGCCGGAACTAACCGAACTTTCTAGGCTCTGGTCGGAGGCTTTAGCTTACAGCTTCTGCCCAACTTTGCCATATTTATATCCCCCATGTCTTTTCTCAGTGCAGATGACAAGTGTCACTCATTTGACTCAGCGGCCAACGGCTACGCTCGTGCCGAAGGTGGTGGGTTTGTTGTTTTGAAGCGACTGGATAAGGCTCTCCGCGATGGCGATACCATTCGCGCGGTCGTCCGCGCCTCGGGAGCCAACCAAGACGGCCGGACTCTCGGCCTTACGCAGCCATCAGAGGCCCGACAAGCGGAATTGATCCGTTCGACGTATAAGTCTGCAGGACTGCCCTTGCATGAGACAAACTACTTTGAGGCCCACGGCACGGGCACAAAGACGGGCGACCCTATCGAGTGTGCGGCCATAGGTGCTGCCTTTGCGCCGACACGACAACATCCATTGTACGTGGGGTCTGTAAAGAGCAACGTGGGACATATGGAGGGCGTTAGTGGGATTGTCAGTATGGTCAAGACTATTTACAGCCTCGAGAGTGGCTGGATTGCACCGACCCATGGGTTGGAGAACATCAACCCTAGGATCAAGGTGGCTGACTGGAAGATCAACATTCCTACACGTGCTATTCGCTGGCCCGCTGGCCTGCGGCGTGCTAGCATTAACAGTTTCGGCTATGGTGGTGCCAATGCTCATGTCGTAATGGACGATGCGTACCACTTCTTGAAGCAGCACAAGCTGCAAGGCTGGCACAACACCACTGTCGAAGTTGAGAGCCCGGAACTCCTCCCTAACAAAGTCAATGGAACCAATGGAACCGATGGAACCGATGGAACAAATGGAACAAATGGGACAAATGGAGTAAACGGCCATGCTCAATACGGCGACACGCCGAAAACAGAAGGGACAACCTCTCGTCTCTTCCTCCTCTCTTCTCACGAGGAATCCGGCATCACTCGACTCAGCCAGAGCCTGCAGACTTACCTGAACGAAGTCGACGTCCAGCGCGCGTCTGAAGGAAGGAATGATTTCCTGCACCGTCTAGCATATACGCTCTCCGAGAAGAGGTCGAGTCTTCCTTGGAAAACGTATACCGTCGGGTCGACTATCGAGGAATTGATAGGGGCTTTGGATGGGGCACAGACCCGGGCGATCCGCGTCCCCAACAAGGCGCGGGCGCTCGCATTCATCTTCACCGGCCAGGGTGCACAATGGTCTGCCATGGGGCGCAGTCTGCAAAGATATCCCGTCTTCCAACAGTCCCTGCGCGAGTCAAATGCCTGTCTCCAGTCTTTGGGCTGCACGTGGGATCTCATAGAAGAACTGAACCGCAGTGACGAGGAATCCAAAATCGATCGCCCGTACATCAGCCAGTCGGCATGCACGGCGCTACAGCTCGCCGTCGCGGATCTCCTGTCTAGCTGGGGCATCCGTCCGCAGGTCACGATTGGCCATTCGAGCGGCGAGATTGCGGCCGCCTACGCCAAGGGTGCGATCGACAAGGCGGCTGCCATGCGCATTGCCTACTACCGAGGAGTCCTTAGCAGTCACATCGGCAAGATGGGTGCCATGGCTGCCGTTAGCCTGGGTGTGGATGCAGCCATGGGGTACGTCGGCCGTGTTACCACGGGCAGGATCGTGGTGGCTTGCATCAACAGCCCAGAGAGTGTGACATTATCCGGCGATATGGAGGCAATCGACGAGGTTATGCTGCTGCTGCAAGCTGACGACATATTTTCGAGGAAGCTCCGGGTGCAGACCGCGTACCACTCCCACCATATGAAGCTCATCGCCGACGAGTATCTGGCTAATTTAGCAGGTGCCTGGAAGAGTAATCCGGGCCATACGGACGTCACCATGTTCTCGTCAGTGCATACCAAGCCCGTGGACGGCACCGGTCTTGGACCTTCGTACTGGGTGGCCAACCTAGTCAGTCCCGTCAACTTCTCGGGCGCCATCACGGCCGCTGCTCATGCAGGCCTTCTGGGGGGTAAGGCAAGAAACATGACCGGTCTGAAGAAGGGGAGTCCCGATGCCATTGTTGAGATTGGACCGCATGCGGCGCTGCAGGGGCCTCTGAAGCAGATTCTGGGCAGCCTCGGCGATAAGCTTCCGTCTCCCCCTCGGTACTTATCGGTCATCAAAAGACAGCAAGACGCCATTCAGACGGCCCTCGAGGTGGCTGGCGAACTGCTCGTCCTGGGCCACCCGGTCGACGTGCGCCTGGTGAATGCATACGATGCTGATGGTGGTAATGTCACGGAGGGCTGCAAGATACCTGCACTGGTGGATCTTCCCCCATATGCATGGAACACGTCTAACCGATACTGGAGTGAGTCGGCTGCGGTCTCGGCCTACAGAAACAGGAGCCATCCACGGCTTGAGCTGCTTGGACTTCGAGACGAACGATCAACCGAGACTGAACCGTCCTGGCGCAACCTCCTCCGCATTTCTGAACAGCCCTGGATCGAGCACCACCAGTTCCAGAGTACCAATATCTACCCCATGGCAGGCATGATTGTGATGGCCATTGAAGCCATGCGCCAGGTTCAGACCCGCACCGATGTCTTGGGCTACCAGGTGCGCGATGTTAGCATTCGACGGGCTTTGGTGGTTCCATTCGACCAGACTGTTGAGACAAGGCTTCAGTTAGCGCCGTGGCGCTCGTCACCCATCGCAGCCGACGATTCCTCGTACTGGTCCGAATTCAAAGTGTCTAGCCGCAGCGAGAGCGGCACGTGGACGGCAAACTGTACGGGTTTGATCGCCGCCCTGTACTGTCCAAAGGGAGAAGCGCTTGCCAGAAATGGTGTGTTTGTGGACGAAGAGGCGGTCGCTAACGCCGAACTCAAGAAGGACCATGAAAAGATCCAGCAGTCGGGCTTTCCGAGCCTGGACCCGGCTGTCTTTTACGACACGCTCGACAAGACGGGATTTCATCTCGGTCCCGCGTTCCAGGGAGTCAAAGAGCTGCACCTCCTCAATGACAAGTCGCACTACACCATGGAGGTGCATGATACGGCGCAATGGTATCCAGCAAGGTGGGAGCCGCCTCATCTGATCCATCCGTCTGTCCTAGACGTCTTTGTGCATCTCTTGACTTCGAGCGCGGGTTACGGCAAACACCTGAAAGCGCGACTGCCCGTTTCCACGGCGTCCATCTACGTTTCGGCGAACTTTGATTCCACCCCAGGCACCAAGTATCATGGTTTCACACGCACCCGCAAGCTCGGTGGCGGCGACAAAGTGTCGAGTGATGTCTTTGCCTTTAGCGAGGACGGAGGGGACAAGCCTGTCATTGCACTCCGTGGCTGCCAGTCTGTGGCTCTCCATGGTTCGGGTTTACAAGTAGATGCTTCCTCCAACACACAAAATGCTGGCAGCCTACACCTGTCTCATGGCGGCCATGTCCCCGTTGTTCCACACTTGGCTCCGGATGTAGAAATGGCTGATGCTGTTCAACTTCAACAGCTTCTGGAAGACGCTCCCGATCTCGCTGCCGCGCTCAGAAAATACGTGTCCCTACTCGCGCACAAGTATCCCGCTCTGGACATTCTCGAATGCAGTCCGTCTGCCAGCAGTCTCCTCACAAAGGCTCTTGACCCGACGCCGGCAGGGGCGGGAAAAGAGATTCACAAGCGTATACAGTCGATTGTTCTGTCCGGCGCTGCGCCTCCTGAGGAGCCATCCTCCTCTTTTGGGCCATGGAGTCAGTCGTTTCGCCATCAGGAGCTGGATCTTTCCGAAAGTCTTGTGACACAGGGCTTGGAACGGGCTTCTCGCGATCTTGTGGTCTTGGACACTGCTCTGGAATATAAGAATGACGATTCCGTCATTCTCACCAACCTGAAAGAGCTTCTAAAACCACGGGGTGGCGGGTTGATGATTGCAAATCATTCTGGCAGCACGCGAGCCATCTCAGACAGTGTGTTGATATCCGCAGGTTTCACCACCTTTACTACCATCAACTTCCCTGACACGTCGCGCCTTACTATTGCCCGCTTGACAGAAGAACAGCCCAACAGCAACGCCACAGTCCAGAATATTTTGATTGTCATGCCACAGCGTCCATCTTATGGACTGAGACGAGCGTTGGAACAAGTGGAGTGCGAGCTACAACAAGCGCATAACTATCATGTTGTCAAGATGCCCTTTGGCAACGCCATTCCAGAACAGCTCTCCACGTACTTGGCTCTCATCGCCCTAGATCTGGACGTTCCCTTCCTGGAAGACCCAGAAGAGCATTCCTTTGCCAAACTTCGGTCCTTGGTCCTTGGAACTCAGGGAACGTTGTGGTTGACTTTGGACTGCGACTCCAGAGGCCTCGTCAAAGGCGTTGGCCGGACGATCCGCGCCGAGTACCCGGAAATCCCTTTCACGACACTCGCACTCGACTTGGCCGCCCCGCTGGATGCGGACGTCAATGTGCGTACTATTGCGAAACTCGTCGGCAACATGCGCAGCAAGATGCTAGCGCAGTCTAGTGACTCGGAGCATGTCATTCGTCAGGGACGGGTCTTGGTGGAACGTCTCGAGCCGGAAGCCGACCTCAAGGCCTTGTTGGACGCAGCCAAGTCTGGACAAAGGCTTCCTCCGGTCAGGATGACCCTGCGACAGGGCACCCAGCAGCAAGCCGACGGCGGCCAGACACTGCGCTTGTCCTTCCGCGAGCCAGGACTCCTCGACTCGTTTGAATACCACCCGGTGTCCGGCTTATCTAGCCTGGATCCCGTGTCTGAGGGCCAGATGGAGATCGAGGTCCGGTCGGTCGGCTTGAGCTTCCGCGATGTCATGGTGGCCATGGGTCAAATGGAGGATGTCAACGTGGGCATGGAGTGCTCGGGCATCGTGTCGAGGCTGGGTCCCGGGATCGACAAGTTCCGCGTGGGCGACCGCGTGTTCGGCCTGCACGCCGGCTGTTTTCAGACCCGCGTGCGCGTGGACCCGCGCATCTTCCAGCGCACCCCGGACAATGTGAGCGACGAGGTGGCCGCGGCGCTGATGGGCCAATACATGACCGCGGTGCACTCGCTGATCAACGTGGGCCGCCTGCAAAGCGATGAGTCTGTCCTGATACACTCTGCGGCCGGTGGCCTGGGCCAGGCAGCTATTATCGTTGCCCAGTATCTCGGGGCCAGGCAGATCTTCGCAACGGTCTCGTCGGACCGGAAAAAGAAGTTTCTGATGGATGAGTACGGCATCCCGGAGTCGCACATCTTCAACAGCCGCGACTACTCGTTCGCCGATGGCGTCATGCGGGTCACCAACGGACGGGGCGTAGACGTTGTGCTCAACTCGTTGGCCAATGAGGCCCTGCGGCGCACATGGCACTGCGTGGCGCCGTTTGGTCGCTTCATCGAGCTGGGCAAGCGTGACATCTACGACAACACTGGCTTGGAGATGCGGCCGTTCCTGAACAACATCACTTTTGCGGGCCTGGACATTGCCGTCCTCATCACTGAATATCCCGACCGCTGCGAGAAGCTCGGCAAACAAGTGCTGGAGTTACTGCACCAGGGCGCCATTAGACCCCTCACAAGTGTCGTGCAGTACGGTTTTGGGGAAGTAGAGCAGGCCTTCCGACTAATGCAGAGTGGCAACAACATTGGCAAGATTGTCCTGATCCCGCGGCCTGATGACGTGGTCCCCGTCGTCCCCGGAGGACTCGGTGCGTTCCGACTGCCCCCGAACAGCGCCTATGTCCTCGTCGGTGGTCTTGGTGGCATCGGCAGATCTATTGGCAGGATGCTCGCCGAGAAGGGCGCCAAGCATTTAATCTTCCTTTCCCGGAGCGGCAATGCGCACCCGGAAGCACACGCCCTGCTCGATGAGCTACAGCGGCAAGGCGTTTCAGCGACGGCCATTGCGGTCGACGCAGCGGACAAAGCACAGCTGGAACAGGCCTTGGACAAGATCAGGCAAATAGGTCCTCCGATCAAGGGCGTCATTCACTGCGCCATGGACCTGAGAGTAAGCCCTCTCTTCTACTATCACACCCCCCCCTTTTACATGCTGTGCTAAATGTGACAATCACGTAGGACGGCATCTACCAGAACATGACTGCGAGGGATTGGAATTTGGCCCTCCGCCCTAAGCTCAAAGCTACACGCAACCTGCACGAGCTTTTGCCAGCCGACCTGGATTTTTTTGTCTGCTTGTCGTCCATTGCTGGCATCATTGGCTCCCGCGGCCAGGCCAACTACAATGCTGGAAACAGCTACCAGGATGCCCTCATGCACCACCGTGCCGCCTCGGGCCTGGCGGCCGCCATCTCCGGACGCGCTCCGACCCAGATTGCCGTCGGCACGGCCACTGGTGGCCAGCTCGACAAGTCGTTATCCAACGATCCCTACTGGTTTGCGGATTCACGGTTTACCGTTCTTAGCCAGCTGGATCGGCAGGCGGGTGGCGATGGTGGCGGCGGTGGCGGCAGCAGCAGTGAGGCCGCGAAAGACGATTGGAAGAAGCTCGTGGCGGGCGCCACGTCCAAAGACCAGGTTTACGACCTCGTACTTGCCCAGCTGCTGGTCGGCGTGTCCAACATTATCAAGATGAACCTGGACGACATTGACCCAAAGAAATCTCTGCCGGCCCTTGGCATCGATAGTCTTGTCGCGATCGAGGTTCGGACCTGGCTGCGCAAGGAGTTTCAGGCGGACCTCTCTGTATTTGACATTGTCAGCAACGATCCGCTGTCTACCTTTGTGCACAGGGTCACAGCCAAGTCCGCCCTGGTCCCATCTGGTCTTGCTTGATTGTATTTTGATGAGTTTCAGCTATTTTCTTGGCCGTGAAAGCTTAAAGGCAGGTATAGTAACCAAATAGCTTTTGGCTGCAGCAGAGGTCGTTTATCTTCGACAGGGAGTTATAATCACGTTGTGAGATACAAGCTGTTAGAGGTAAAACCTTTCTTTTCTTTTCTGTGGGTAAATAGCCGGGGAAAGATGTTCTAAGAGAATTCAGCCACCATAATTTCACGATGTCACTTGTCAAGATTCACTTGTCATCGCCGCAAAGACTTGTAGGCCGTTTCTGTGCTAATGGGCACTTCCTCTGCGCTTAATCCTAAACCTTGGTGAATTATTTGACTTGATCTTTTTCGAAGTTGTGAGAACTTTTTACTTCTAGCTTTATAAACACTTTCCCTAAACTTTTAGAAACCTAAAGTTGAAAGTAGTATTACTAGGGGATAGCTCAAAATACATTGAAAGCATTTCGATTGTGAATCTTCAAACACATAATCCTTGCAATTTGGTGAGAATGTGACGGGCTATCACACCCTCGTCTCAAGGATGGGGGCTGATACGAAAAAGGCTTGACGATTATATCGTATGCATAGAAGATGGCCACGTGCTGTGACACGAAGGTTTGAGGATTTCAGATCAGCTGCTCAGAAATCAGGGGCAAAATACGCGCAAAGTGTATATTGAAGGCTAAGTAAAAGTGAGGATGTCTCGACCTAAGCTACTGGGGGAAACAGGGTGAATCTGACCGATGACTAATCTACCTGGTGACAATCCCCTTTTATCGCCCTGGAAAATGTAGGTCTTCCCTCCGGGGCAGAAAGTTAAGGACATCCAGCTGCTCCCTTTTTGTTGTGCCGTGCGAGGAAACCGTGTCAGAAAAAAGTCCCTGTAACTAAAATTGCGCCTACGGCGCGACAATATTATCATGTGGCTGTAGCAGCGGCTTCGCTCTTCGGGGCGAGAACATACGGAAGTGGATTGTATGACAAATTACCTACCGGAGCTGCGGCGCTGTCTTATTTTCGGTGCCGTTGTTAGTAAATTTTGGGTCCGGTTGGTCGGTAGCGTGTTATGGAGGGGGGCGTGAATGTAATTCTGCATCCGAAACGGAGGACCAAGGGCTTGATGTTATGGTTGAGATGTATGTAGCAGACACAGGATGATGCAATATTCTGGGACTAGAGCAAGTACGAGACAAATAAGCTAGTCATACAGTGCCCTTCTTTTCTTTTCGAGATTTTGTTGCGCCGACGCTTTAAAGGAGTCTTGTACCGAGTACTTCACCGGAAGCTTATTCGGGGATATGATTGAGGTTCGGAGCTGCGCCTCGGACCAAAGCACGACGACTGTGGTAACTATTTTATTGGGTATCTGGGGACAGAGACCGGTTACTACATATGGCAAAGTATTCCGATGATGCAGAAGAGGGCAGTCCCCATTGCCAATCCCTAGACCCCCCACAGAAACCGGCTAGGGCGAGAAGCCCATAGTCTTTACTATGCCCCCCAAAATATGTCATGGAAGGCGAAAAGATTTGGTAGGGTATAGCATTGTGCACTCAACAATCCCACTTCTTAGAGGAATGCCAGGCTTGGAGAAGTCAAAAGACATGTCGAAGAATGACCAGTGGCGAGGCGATTTCACCTACTTGCTTCTCTCTATTCTGGTTTACTTATACTGTACAATCAAGAAGGTTTCTGAACAACAATAATTGAATTATGTAGTCGAGACACCTGAGGCTAAGTAAGAGTAGAAACTGTTTCGATAATCAATTCCGCAAATTGCACTAGCTCATCGGAATACCTGGGAAAGTGGTGGCCACCACGGTGCACCATCTTCATGGCTGTCTCGGTATCAAATAATTGTGAAACCGCGTCGTCCACAAAGAAGTACGGATCTTTGATTCCCCGGATGTGTACGGAGGGCAGGGTCAGCTTGTCCGTTACATCTTGGGGTCGATATTTGAGCAGAAGCCGGACCGGGAAGTCCAACTGCTCTTGCACTCTCTTGATCATATGGTAGTCCAACAGGGTGCGGGAGTCCTGCACCCAGTCGACATCTCGCTTGCCATCCGAGGCATCGAATTCGCCGGGTCGGTATGTCGCCTGGAGTTGGCCTTTCTCCGTCAAATCCCACGTGATGGAGCCGGAATCGATACGATAAGGAAGAAAGGTCGAATTGAAGATGGCCATTTTGAAGGGCCAATCATGAGCACCTGGATTTGATTTCTGGTGCATGAGCAGCAGCAGGGCGGCCATCGCGCCTCCCTGAGAGAAGCCCCAAACGGCATCAAAAGGCCCTTCGGACTCGACATACGATAACAAACGTCTATAAGCATTCTGGACGTCTTCTGGATACGGAAAGTTGTGCCAGGAGTAGTTTGGTGGAGGCACTTGGTCCATCGTGGCTATGGGATGTAGATTTAGCCCGTATCCGAAGAGAACAGAACGTCTAGAGCCAAACTTACGAAACATCAGTTTGGATGATTTCATTCCTGCCTCCAAGAAGTCAAATTCCCAATTACTAGGAAGATGCTCTATAATTGGTTCCATCTGCTCTTTCAGAACATCAACGCATGTGGCATAGCCATGAAGACAGAGAAACCGCATCTTAAGGGTGTTTCTGGAGCCTTCGTAGACTCTGCAGTTCTATCGTTGATTGTGTAATGGGCATGGATGGCAAAGTAGACTTTAAAATCACGGGGCCATGAAATTTCAACTTCTTGGGTTTCTAGGTCAAGTACCGTGAGGTCCTCATGGTTGTTGGAATCAAACCCCTAAACCCTCCGATGCCAGATAGAGGTGGGTGTGAGTAAGATCCGTCGCATTTGGTGACTGGCCCACAGCATGAGGCTCTCCGGGCGAGCTCCGAAACGCTAGAAGCTTTTGCTGGCGCTAGTGCGAGGAAAGTAGATCTCGGACGCCGAGCCAAGGAAGACGTCTGGTTCCTTCCCTAGTTAGATGGCACTGACAATCATTCCAAGGATACAACGCTATCACTAGTTTTATTTCCCAGTAATGTTCAATTAGACACAGCAAATATCTGCATGACATAGGTGACACAAGAGAAAGACAGATCCCGATATCTCTTATATCAGTGAAAAGACCGCCATCAGAATAACACCCCGGTGCTGAATACGCGCCATGATCACGATCCATTTCGTAGCTGAGAGGAAGGAGAAGACACTGTTTGCAGCCAGGAGTAGACTGGTCTAATTCAGCAGCGTTCGACTAACCAAGCACAGCTCGGGAAAAAAAAAGCAAGTGGCTAATCACTTGCATTTAAAAATAAATGTACGCACTAGATTCCCCGGCAAAAGGCCTTATGTCAATGCTGTCTTGCTATAGTTCCGGCGTGGAGATACCAAAACCCCTGTCGCTCGCATGACATGGGTGTATTTGATTTTGATTTCATTCTTCTAAGAACAAAGAAATGACCAAAATGTGCAATGCCTGAATTGCGTCTATTCCCATCAAGTTACAGGGATGTATCCGTGATTGCACTGCGGTACGCGAGGCCTTTTGACTGATACCAGGATCATTCCTCGCCAATTCTCAACAGTGTCTTGCCAAAGCTGCCGCCTGTAAACATGGACAGAAAGGCCCTCTCTGCCTGGTTGATTCCCTCGAAGACGGTGTATCGCGACTTGATCTTGCCCTCTGCGATCCATCTCGGCATCCACATCAAGAAGTTGAAGATGTTGGCCTTGTAGATGTTCTCGTCCCAGAACATGAATCCTTGGATCGTGATGCGGCGACGGAAGAGCTCGGAGGTGTTAGTAACGCCGTACTGCTCATCGGGTGGCTTGTTATACTGGGACGCCTGGGGAAAACATCAGCAAGGATCCAACAAAGATAGGACGGTGTATAGTATTGTCAGGAAAGGCCACACGTACTGCGCCGCAGCTGATTATCCGCCCAAACCACTTCATGCTTTCGATGGCTGCCTGTAAGTGCTCCCCTCCCACGTTCTCAAACACCACGTCCAATCCCTCCGGCGCTAGACGCTTCAGCGCCGCATCGATTGGCTCCCGCCGGTAGTTGAAACCAGCATCGGCGCCCAGCTCGTCGACCACGTATGCCAGCTTCTCATCCGAGCTCACACTTGCAATCACCCGCATCCCCTCTATCTTGGCTAGCTGCACCACCACTTCTCCCACCGAGCTGGACGCTGCATTGACCCAGACTGTCTGGCCCGCAACCGGCTTGACCAGGCCGTAAAAGGCATTCCATGCGGTCATGCCCGCCAGGCCTAGCGCGCCGACGTAGTGCTTGAGGTCCAGCTGGTAGGCGTTGGTCACCTTCCACACGGCAGGGGTGGACATCATTCGAAAGTTCAAGATCTCAGGGGGCAGAACAGCGTACTCGGCAATGGGCAGACTTCCGGCAATCAGACAACCTTGTTCAAAGGCGCTTGTGTCGGAATGAATGACCCGGCCAATGGAGAAGTTGGTGATCGGCTTATCCTTCTCGTAGCCTGGGACATAGTCCACGTTTCCGGCACCGCGCATACGGTCTCGCTGGTGAGGATCGAGCCCAGCGACGAGAAGCTTGACGACCACGCCGCCGGGGGGTGCTACGAGCTGCACAGGCCGATTCTCGATCGCGGTTGTCACGCCCGGCTCAATCAGGGCAGTAGGCGGGGTCTTGAACACCCAAGTTGTGTTACGAACGGTTCCTTGTTCTGTCATGTCAGATAGCTGTAGTGTAGATCTTGGAGGAGATATCTGTATGCAAAATAGGTGTAGACGGCCGGATAGTGCGTGGTGATGCTGGAGGGACCACTTAGACTCCTCTCACGTTGGGTCTTGGAGTCTCGCGGATATGATCTAAATAGTAAATATCGAAGCACCTCAAGGCCAATAAGGAAGTGTCCGGCCCCCGAAAGCCTCAGAATCATCTGTCAGGCAATACTCGGCGTTACAAGCCCCTCATTGGATAATCAACTTGGACATCGGAGCCTTTCGGATGTTTCGAAGAGTCGGAGGTCTCGAAGCTGCTGAGCATATACGTTGACGTAATTTGTGGAAAGGGATTTCTGGAAGAGCACACGAGGCTTGCCGCCGCTTTGTCAGGGTAACAACAGAGCCACAGGTCACGAAGTGAGCAATGCGGAAGGCGACGGAGGTTCGATAAAACAACTGTCTCCTTTTGTGTTTGTACGCCTTTCGCCCAATAAGGGCCATGAGAATATAATTACTCTGCGGGTTGAACTATGACAAGAGAAAAAAAGTCCATGGGTTTTGCCACTGTGAGATACGAGATATAACTTAGAGGTCTAACACCACGGAGCTTTGGAGCTCGATCAGCAACAAAACAAGCTTTTGTAGCATAGTTCCATCAACGCTGGAAAATTCTCATGTGTTTTGTTCACTTTTCACAACTCTTTATTTTTGTAGTGCTTGTCTTGGTAGTTTTTATACAGTGCTGTAGTGTATGAATCTGACCGGCGCTCGATCTTGACTGGTAGCCTCATCATCGACAGCACGCCTTTTCTAGCCGAAGACCTTTTGGAATGCCTGTTTGAAATCGGCAATAATGTCATCAATGTGCTCGATCCCTACTGAGATACGGATCATGTCCTCCGTAACCCCCGATGCCGTTTTCTCCTCCACCGACAGCTGCTCGTGAGTCGTCGACCATGGATGGATAGCCAGACTCTTGGCGTCGCCCACATTGGCGAGATTCGACACCAGTTGCAGGCTATCCACTACCTTGGTTCCTGCCTCGGCATTGCCCTTCACTCCAATGCTCAGCATGCCACCAAAGCCACGCTTCAGGTACTTCTTCGCCGCTGCGTGGCTGGGGTGCTGCTCTGATCCGGGCCACAGGGTCCAACTCACGTACTCTGGATGGGCTGCAAAGTACTCTGCCAACTGGGCTGTGTTCTGCGCATGCCGCTCCGCGCGCAGGCCCAGAGTCTCGAGGCCGATCAATAACTGCTGCGCGGCAAAGGGGCTCAGGCAGGGACCCATATCGCGGAGCAGCTCCACACGAGCGCGCATGATGAACGAGAACGGACCGAAGCTGGGTAAGTACCGGAGGCCGTGGTACGCTGGCGATGGCTCGACCATTTCCGGAAATCGGGCAGCGTTCTTGCCCCAGTCAAATCGTCCCGAATCGATGATTACCCCGGCAATAGTGGTTCCGTGGCCGCCGATCCACTTGGTAGCTGAGTGGACGACAATGTCCGCGCCGTGCTCGATGGGGCGGATATAATAGCCGCCGGCACCGAGCGTGTTGTCGACCTGTATGTAGGAAGGGTGTTAGTGAGAAGGAAAGTAGTCTCTTATTTTTCTCTCTTTGTTATTGCTGCACATATGGTATAGTAAGCACAGACAACGTACAATCAGGGGTATTCCATGGTCATGGGCAATCTTGGCAATTTCCTCAAGGTCCGGTACAACATTGTCTGGATTACTAATGCTCTCGACATAGATGGCTTTCGTTTTATCGTCAATGGCTGCGGCAAAGTCGGCAGGTTGCACGCTGCGTATGAACTTGGTCGTCACACCGAAGCGGGGGAGGAGCACGCTCAACTGGTTGTATGTACCGCCGTACAGATGCGAGCTGGCCACGATATTGTCCCCAGGCCTGGTCGGACTGGTCAGTGTCAGATACTGTGCCGCCTGGCCCGAGGCGGTAGCGAGCCCGGCGATGCCACCCTCGAGAGCCGCAATGCGTTTCTCAAAGACGTCTACGGTAGGCTGACATTTGCTGTTTTAGCCATTGTCTGAATATCAAGGAGCAGGAAAGGAGACCACAGAAAGAATGCGGGTTGTGTTGCTTTTGCTCTTGAGTGCTCACTAACGTTCATCAGACGTGAATAGATGTTACCCATCTCCCTGAGACCAAACAGTCGAGCTCCTTGGGCAGAGTCATTGAAAGTGAAACTCTGCAAGGATTATAGTCAGTCTCACAACAGAGGCCCATGAATTAGGGCAGTGACTAACAGTTGTGGCATAGATAGGTACCGCGGTAGATCTCATATGAGGCTCAGGTTTATATCTATGGAAGAGTGGTTAGTTTCGACAGGTGCTGATTCTCAAAAGAGTGGTGGAGGGAGAATCATTAATACCCGGCATGAAGCTGGATAGTTTCAAAGTTTTTCCAGGGTTGTTCTTCCATGATGGATTACAGTTCGCGTCTGTTGTTACTACTTTATTGGTCAGATCTGGGGAAAAGATGGGAATATCGCGAGAACACGTAGTGAAGTGCAAAACTTCCACTAGAAGCGAGAGTATTTTGAATTTTCCTTAAAGAAAGCGATTCCCTGATATATAAAGAGAGAAATTGTAGCAAGTTCTGGCATTTGTAGTGTCAGTACTTCACCAAACACCTGCTTTCGGATTCAAGATGTTGAGTAATCGGAGATTTAGAATCATGGCGCCGGACCTCCGATCCCGAGTGGTACAAAACCTTCCGACGACGAACTCGACAGCCAAGGCTATGATATACTTACAAAGCGTTCTATTCAGCAGTATCTCTAGCAAGTCGTGTAGAAAAAGCACTGCCGAATCGGGTTTAAGGATCTCGGAAGTCGGAAACTTACTATTGATCCGCAACAGGACCGTAATTGTGAAGCGAGACCATGTCGAACGTTACTCGGAACAATTACGCCTTGAGTAGTCAATTAGTAACTCCTCAGGCAAGATATGATATAACACAAAGAGATCCTCAAGTCTCCGTGTCTTTGACCTGTTTGCCCACTTAAACTTGAAATCGTACCCATCTTAGTTTTCGGTTGCGGTTTGAATTGTCAATCCGGTTGTCATCGACATTTCAAATTACCAACATGGGTTCCGCTCCTCCCTCGCCATGCTATGGCCAACGATTACTTCCAGTAGAAGTTGACAAGATCGCTCGAGATAATCCCGGGCGAGTACTTTACTATACCCCCCGTAACAACCAGCCCTCGCAAGGATACGAGGCAGTAACGACGAGCAGATTTGCCAATGCGGTCAATAGGGTGTGCTGGTGGCTCGAGTCTGAAGTTGGAACGCATACGACGCCTAAGACGATAGGCTACCTCGGACAAAGTACGTCCGCCCATCATTAAAAAAGTATTTGCTTTCCGGGCTGATATTGACGCCTTCGTTTTTCTTCTGTTTTTAGATGATCTGAGATACTTCCTTTTGATCGTTGCAGCGACAAAAGTTGGTCACAAGGTATAGTAGCTTTTTTGTTATCAACGGTGTTTTTCTCGCGACTGACGCTTGATGGAGGTCCTCCTCTCATCGCCACGGAATAGTGTGGAGGGACATCTGTCACTGATACGGCAGTCTGGCTGCGAGCTCTGGATTACATCGCCAGGCGTCGGCAAGCTCAGCTTCGTCAATGAGTTGCAGTTACCCTGTATTCAAGTACCTGCTCTGACCGAGATCATGGATCCCAGCGCTGTTAAACCGTACATCTACAAGAAGCAGTGGCAGGAAGGACGATCAGATATTTTGGCGTTGCTCCACACCACCGGTTCGACAGGCCTACCGCGACTGATACCACTAACGCTCGAGGCCGTGGGCACTGGCGATGCGCTTCACTTGGTGGAGCCCATCCAAGGAAAGATGCCTAGTTTGGTGGAGTGGACGGGCACAAGGATGTTATGTGCGATGCCTCTATTCCATGCAAGTACTTTCTACATGCGCAGTATATTTAGAGATCAAAACGCCAGTGGCTAACTGGGAGGTTCTCCCATATTATTAGGTTGCCGGTCTTTGCTTTGGTTTACCTTGTGCCATCTTCTTGGGGTGGAGCATAGTCTTGCCGCCCACCGGGCCCGTCATGCAGCATGTCATCGAAGAGACCCTCGATAACATCGATATTGACTCGGCCTTTGTCTCGCCCGTTGTTCTCTCAGACATAGCCAAGACACCTCGCGTGCTGGACAAGCTCAAAAAGCTGAAGTTTGTCACTTCCGCGGGCGGCCCGACTCCACCGTCTGTGGGCAACATCATCCACTCCCGTGTCCGTTTTTGGCAGACGATGGGTATGACTGAAGGGCTGGTTGTGCCATCTGTGATCACGCATCCAGATGAGTGGGCGTATTTTCATTTCCATCCGTGCTGCGGATTCGAGATGCGGCGTTATTCGGATACTCTGTTCGAGCTGGTGTTTGTCAAGAAGAAGGAGTTGGCGGCAACCCAGGCCATCTTCCTGACGTTCCCAGACTTGGACATATACGAAACAAGAGACCTTTACTCGTGTCATCCTACAGTCCCGGAACTGTACAAGTATGAGACGCGTAAAGATGATCTCGTCATCCTCTCGAATGGGGAAAAGTTTAACCCTTTAGCTGCCGAAATGAAGTTGGCTGGCCACCCTTGGATCTCTGCCGTCTATATTGCTGGACGGGGTCGTTTCCAAGTGGGGGCATTGCTCAGTCCAGAGGAGAATCGGCGGGACGCATCTGACCTTGCCATAATCGAGGCTGTGTGGCCGGCCATTGAATCTGTGAACCAGCATTTGCCCGCGTTTGCCCAAATTCACCGCAATCTTGTCCAAATTGTGCGCACGCCCTTTCCTCGCACACCCAAGGGGACATTGGCACGCTATGAGATGGAGAAAGCCTTTTCAAAGGAGATTGCGGCTCTCTACCAGAACTCGGCCGTTCCAGAGTCGCAATCCTCGTTGCCTACCGACTCCCTAGACATTGACGGAAGTAGCATCGAAAGTATTAGTGCTGGGCTGCGGAAAGCCATTCAGGTCGTGTCTCCGGGTTTGGAACTCGAGCAGATCAGAGACGAAGATAACCTTCTGGAAAACGGGCTCGATTCACTCCATATAATCCGACTTTCGAGACTTCTCAACTCTGTTTTCCTCTCGTCTTCTCTTCAAACAAACCCCGGCACGATATATTCACATCCCTCTGTGGCCCAGCTGGGGCAAGTGCTGTGGACGCAATTGCACGATGTACACCAAGCAAACCAGGAAACACAGACAGCACAGCTCCTCCGTACCAGGGCCGTATCCCAAACCCTCGCCAAATATCTGTCATCTTTTGCGGTGTCCCGGGAGGAGCCTAAGGAATACGTCGTTCTCACAGGCACGACGGGAGCTGTCGGCTCGTATCTTCTGGATGCCATATGCAAAAACGATAAGGTCGCCAAAGTCTGGTGCTTAAACCGTAGCAGCACGGCGGATGCGGCCTGCAGGCAAGCAGAGCTGGCCCATTCGAGGGGTCTATCCTCGGACTGGAAGGGCAAAGTCCGATTTGTCCAGATGGACCTGACATGTGAGGCTCTAGGCCTGAACCAGCCCGATCTCGTGGAAATTCGGAACCAGGCAACGATCATGATCCGTAAGTTACAGATACTGTATTCCAGTGTGCTCTCATGTAGACGACTAATACCCGACGCTGGCAGACAATGCATGGGAAGTCAACTTCAATTTGCCCCTGTCCTCCTTCGAGACGCAACTCATTGGGCTGCAGAGCCTGGTCCGCATCTGCACAAAGACTAGGCACATGATCCGCTTCTTCTTTGTCTCCTCGATTAGTGGCGCCATGAATTGGCCGTCGCATGTCCTGGGTCCCGTGCCCGAAGCCAAACTGACCAACTTAGACGCCTCGATTAATGGATATAGCGCCTCCAAGCTCGTAGCCGAGCACCTGCTCAGCAAGGCCGCCAAATCTGGCGTGCTCCATCTTTCGGTCCTGCGCGTGGGCCAAGTCGCCGGACCCATCACGACCCACGGAGAAGGCAGCATATGGTCGCGGCGAGATTGGGTGCCAGCAGTACGTTGACTTTTTCTCGTTCCCTCCTTTGCTCCCCCTTTTTAGGCCAGCGTGTACTAATGCCGCATCCTTCAGATCATAGACGCATCAGCATACCTCCGCAAGCTGCCTGCGGACCTGGGCTCGGCCACTGCTCTCGATTGGATTCCCATCGATCTGCTGGCCGAGATTATGGGGCAGCTGATTCACTCGCATACGAAAAAAACGGGCGACAGCGATGAAGACGAACTGTATTACAACCTTGTCAATCCCCAAACGAGCAGTTGGGACTCATTGCTGCCGACCATAAAGGCTCGTCTGGAGGCTGCCATGGCACCGGAGAAGATTCAGGTTGTGCCCTTTTCTCAGTGGCTCGACGACCTACAGGCGGCCGAGGAGGTGATTGTCCAGGGGGCGCATAAACATGATAAGGCTTCGTTGCAGACTACGACGAGTCGAGCGCAAACAGGATTCAAGTTGTTGTCCTTTTTCCGGATGCTAAAGGAATCATCTGCGTCGGATGATGTAACTGCGAGCGCAGCTTCATCTGCCCCGAACTGCGTTGTGAAGAATGCCTTAAGACGAAGCTCCATTTTCGCCCACTTGGCACCTGTATCTTCTGCCTGGTTCGAGACTTGGTTGAGTCAGTGGGGCTATTGAGAAGATCCAGGGTCTATGTGGAGGCATATCTTCACGGTGTAGGATGCATGGTCTAATATAGCCAAGGGAATAACCTCTTGTTCGAACATTTTCTTTTTGTTTCTCTTTCTTCTTGTCCCACGCGGGATAGCAATGAAGATAACAAGGAATTTGTTGCAATATGAACAAAGCATCTTGGTGATATGATTTCCCCCGAGTGAATGAATCGATGAACCACCAAATAAATGAATACCACCCCGAAGCGAGAGGCCTTACGTGGCACTCGTGCCCTTGGAGGTTACAGACGCTAGCTTCCGCCTTACTTTCTTTGAAGTCGTTTCTTGTCCTTACGTCTGGTGGCAGAGGAATTTGAAACTTCTTGGAAGAGCTTTCTCAGTGTTCAGTGTCAATTGGCTGGTCCTAGTCATGTGCTCCTGCTTGGCATACTGCGAATTGACCTCCGTCATCGGCCCTCGTGTGTCGAAAACGTACCTTCCCCATGCCTGGCCCATATGCCGCCACGTCGACATCGTACTGCATACGGTTCCTCCGAAGTTTGCTAGCTTGAACTGCGGGCGTTTGGAGGCATCAGTGGTGATCAGTACCTTTATTACCTACCATTTGCCAGGCATGGCAGATAAGCTGGTCACCAAATTGTCGCTATTATGGGGCAGAAGCGCCTACTCGGAGCCTGCATGAGATTCAATCAGTTCGTAGACTTCGATTCCATTCATGCTTCCTGGCTGTGGGATCCCAAAGGAAGCTTTTCCGAGTTCGAAGGTCATCTCTGTGTCGTTTTGATGTCATTCGGTAAATAGGCATTCACTAGCCGATGTCCTCCGAAACAGGTTCTCCTTCTTCCCTTGTTGATTCCTGAATTTTTTTCTGTCCTTTTAAAGCGGGTCTATATGTTGGAACATCATCTCGGAAGGGGAACCGGTGTGCTGAGATTCTATTTGCGCGGTGAAGGATCGCCGGTCACCGTATGGTAGTATTCGCCCTCCTCAGTACATGTGTTGGTAAGCATTATCTTATCAGATCCCTTCCCGGATCCGAAGCCGTACGTAATCAGATGAGATCACCCCAACATGAGGACGATCTTCCTTACTTGGCAGACTGGCGAACTTGGCAGTGTGCCACTACATGAATTATGCCTGGCGCTTAAACTGATCCTGGCACGACAAGCTTCGACAAGCTTTGGCTAGACTAGGCTCTAAGCTACTGTAACGTTAGCGTAAGGATCGGGCCGTGGGTCCAACAGCGGTCTAAACTCTTATGCAAGTAGGAAGGGGAAGCTGGCCAAAGAGGTTCTCACAATGGTGGCTGTAGTAAGCACGGGATAATGTACCAGTAATTGCCGAGTTGGTGGGGTCTCAATAGAGTGTCACTGACTTCAAAGGAAAGCCGCACTTAGGGTAGTTTCTGATAATTCCGTAGATAAATGCCGCGGGCTCTGCTTTCTCGCGAATATCGCCGCGCCGAAACCCCGAGTCGGGACATCTAAGGTGAGCTATATAACCGATGATGCGAGTGCGATGCTCTACTCTTTGAGACGAGATAATATGGCCAGACATGAAAGCTCGACTATTTTCGGCCATCCGCATCTTGAATCTCTACACAAGTCTCTCGGTGCCTCCTGTTGTTCTCATCATGGCCGTTGTTACTGAGCCTGTTGCCTCCGATGACGACGTTCCCCAGCAAATCAAGGCCTCTTCTCGGCGTACGTCCTGGATTCGATCTCTTGTCTGGCACACACGCCTCGACGACGACGTCTGCAACCAGAATTACGCCGGTAACGGCACGGATGATGATCCCTACATCATCGATTATCTGCACAACGACCACCAAGATGCCATGAGCTTTTCTAAGGGCCGGAAATGGGCCATTGCAGTTCTCCAGTCCATGTCCACGTTTTCGGTGACCTTTGCCAGCTCGGTGTATGCCAGCGGCATCGAGGACATTAAAGAGCGTTTTAACGTGTCCGGGGATGTGGCTACGCTAGGCTTGTCTCTCTTCGTGTTGGGGTTTGCGCTGGGACCGCTGATCTGGGCGCCTCTATCAGAGACGTATGGGCGCAAATCCATTTATGTGGTTTCGTTCGCAGCATACACAGCATTCAGCGTGGCGGCGGCGTGCGCGCCCAGCATCGCAGCCTTGCTAGTTCTTCGCTTTTTTGCGAGCGCGTTTGGTTCATCGTCGATGACGAATACCGGGGGCGTAATTGCCGATATGTTCAGTAAGGCGGAACGCGGACTCGCGACGGGCATGTTTGTCACAGCTCCTTTTCTGGGCCCTGCACTTGGTAGGTGGTGAATACGCTCTTTTCGTGACGTATCTCCTGGTACTGATTACCTTTCCCTAGGGCCCATAGTGGGCGGTTTCCTTGGCGAGGCTAAGGGCTGGCGCTGGATTCTTGGTTTGATCGCTATACTAGGTGGTGTGGTCTCGATTACCACGGGCCTGACTACCCGCGAAACTTATGCACCGTTCATTCTGCGACGTCGGGCCAAGGCCCTCTCCCGGATGACAGGAAAGGTCTATGTATCCAGGCTTGATGCGGGAAAACCACGAAAAACGCTCTGGCAAGAGCTCTCTGTGTCGCTCACGCGCCCCTGGATCCTTCTATTCCTTGAACCTATCGTCTTGCTGACATCCCTGTACATCTCCATTATCTATGGCACACTGTATATGTTTTTTGCCGGGTTTCCGATTATCTTCCAAGTTTCTCGAGGCTGGAACCAGGGCACCGCCGGACTTCCGTTTGTCGGCGTCGTCATTGGCGTTTGTCTTGCCACGCTGGCAGCTGGCGTAGATAACAAGCGCTTCGTGCGTCTGTGCGCGGCAGCCGAGGCAGGGGGACGCGCAGTCGAGCCCGAAGACAGGCTGACTCCGGCTATGGTAGGCTCTATCGTCCTTCCGATTGGCCTGTTCCTGTTTGCGTGGACGACATACCCATCAGTGCACTGGATCGCACCTATCATCGGCGCTATGTTCTTTGCTTGTGGACTCGTCATGGTCTTTATCTCGTTGATGAGCTATCTAGTCGACTCTTGTATGTCCTGACTCCTATTTTGGGATTTCCTCCAATGATTCGTATACTGATTTTGTGTATAGATGTCATCTATGCTGCTTCTGTACTTGCGGCTAACTCGGTGCTTCGGTCTTTGTTCGGCACCGCATTTCCGCTATTTACTACTCGAATGTACCAGAATCTCGGGAGTCAGTGGGCGAGTTCCATTCCTGCGTTCTTAGTACTTGGGTGCCTTCCTTTCCCGTTTCTGTTCTATAAGTACGGTTCGCAAATACGTTCCAAGTGTAAGTATGCCTCCGAAGCAGCAAAAATGCTGGAGATGATGCGTCGTCGACAGGGCGTCGTGATTGGAGATGGGCCAAATGGGACGGAGAGGAAGGCTGAGTAAACCAGCTATTTGTGGGAGGTAGTCCGAACAGTTTTAATGGCCTTTCAATGGTACGTTATTGCGGCACTGGCGCCGGAGTTATAGATAGAAATGGAAAGTGTGGGTTTAACAGCATATGTAGAGAGTTTGCGCTCGAACATTGTTCTTACTTCATCGTATTGTGTTCAGTTCATTACATTCAGTCTATATAACGTATGGTAATGGTGATACACGCATAAAATCACCCGGACTACATGAATTCCATCACATCCCGCAACCGCAAAAATTAGATTGGGGTTTTATGGATTCAAAGGAGATGATCACCCAAAAGTGGGTGAGCTGGAAATAGACCGGGGTGACTAACTCGCAGGAAAATCTGAGGAAATAGAGTATTCACACGGCATTCCACGGCATTTCACGATATACCGCGGGGTTCCACCGCGGTGTGTATTATTCTCACTAGTCCTTTTCCCCCAGATCCCTCATCTAGGCCGGTATCACAGATGAAGTCTTCCCACCTACAGACCTTTGACTTGTCGCATCTTCGATTTCAACGAACGAACACATCGCGTGTCATGTTCTCCCGAGCGCAATTCCCCCCCTTGGAAAACCGCATTGAGAAGAGACTGGTTGTGTTGTCCGGCAAATAGCCCATAGGTCACATCTTTGCCGTCGTCTCCGGATTTAGACGATACGCGGTAGTGCTCTGGGAGGCCCACCAACATCTCAATCCGCTCCAGCCGGTGTTCTATCTGATGCGCCAGGAGAGTTGCACAGAGTTTCCGGCTGGGTAGAATTGGTAAACCCCCAAGGTACAGCGTAGGTGACGATAGCTGCTGTTGCGGCGACGATAGAGCCGTCAAAGATGTCGCCTGGCTGCTGCCGACCAAGTGTTCAAATACGGTAGAGAAGATACTGTCGTAGATGGAGACAATCTGGATGTAGCAGGATAAAGCTACGAGGAGTTGGGTTGTACTTAGCGATGGCGAGCCAGCGTTGTAGGTCATTATCAGCGGGGTGTGTACACCTACCCTCGTCGACGGTCGATAGCTGGCCAAGAGTCTTTCTAATTCCTTCGAAATCTTGGCAACCTGGACCAAAGGGTGTGTATCTCCGATATCGCCATCTTGGCGGTAGTTGCTCTCTCCAGATATGGTCAACCTCAGGGCATCCTGAACATCCCACGGCCCCGATCGCACACAGAAGAGCAAGTTGCAAAGCTCCAAATGCAGATGGGACAGTAGTATTTCGACACGGTCGGTGCTATACGCCGGCAATCCAGGGTCTGTGGGGCTGGCCCTCGACACAAGTAAGCTATTATTGAACTGATAGGAGGGCTCAGCCGGCTGGGATGATGAGCCGAGGTCTCCTCGGGCCTGCTGTGGTACCAGAGCGGAGGGCGAATTGCCGCGTAGGCCTGTTGGTTGTTGAGAGAATAAATGAATATCGTGCATGTCATCCATGTTGTCAAGATCGTTGTCCAAGACGGGGTCGGCCTGCTGCATACGAATGCTGTCCAGAAAGCTGTCAAGAGACATGTCACAGTCTAGATTGATGGTGCTGGTATCCACCCTATTGCCGTCTCCGGGAGACGTATCATTCGTCTCCGATGACGTGGAAACG